ACTTAAATAAAAATTGCCAATCTTCAGAAGCCTGTTTAGTTCTTTTCATTTCAAATTAATATTACTCTTGCACCTTACCTAAGATGTGGAAATTGAGATACCTACCTCCAAGAACTGAAAGTGTGAATAAACCAAACCAAACTCACTGTCGTTGAGTTGGACCCAACACATAGCGACCCCTCCTTAGGTTTCCGAGGCAGTGTCACTAAGGAAGTAGATTGCCCAACCTTCCTTCCAAGGAGCTGCTGGTGGGTTTGAACCTCCAGCTTTCTGGATGGCAGTCAAATACCTTAGGCACTATGCCACCAGAGTATGAATAAAAGATTGTAAAATTTTCACCATATTGAGCACCAAAATGAAATTAACTAATGGACATTTTTCTTCCCCTTTCCCAAGAACAGTGGTTCAACCAGGCCAATTTTAACACCTAGTGATTGTTTGATAATATCTGGAGATATTTTTGGTTGTCACAATTGGGGGGATACTATTAATATCTGGTCAGTAGAGGTCAAGGATGCTGCTAAACATCATATCATACATGAGACAGCCCCACACAACAAAGATCTCTACGGTTTAAAGGTTAATCGTAGTGAAATTCAGAAACTGTGTTCTAGCACATCTTGTGAGCCTTCTGTAGCATCACTGAGATTTTCCACATCTTCCTGGTCATAATGAATTTACATATAAAGCCAATCCAGGACCACTATTTCACACAGTGTCTCCTCAAGGGACATTCGGGATTGGGGCATCAGATTGAGGACTCTTCAAGCAATCAGTGAGAACAGCAGGCCTCCTGGACATCTTTGTGGAAAATTTTAGGTTTTTCAATAACGGTCTAATTACAGCCCTGTCAAGTCACAAGGAGAACAGGTTGGCAAACATAGGTACTGAACTAAATAATCTGTGGCATAATCTAAACATATAATGGTAATTAAGTCTGACAGCTTAATATGCAACTGAAATTTAAATGTACAGTAGTAATCTACAATTAAGCAATCTTTTGTAATAGCACCCTGCCAGCCTGGAAGATTTCAGGTACAGTGCTGTGTACAATTAGGTAGTAAAAATATTGACATGGTAAAATGTACCCAGGCTATAATATGACATATATTCAAATTAACCATTGAAGATGGAGGTAAAGCAGAAATTCAGTGCTGTCCTTCAGCCAGTGTCAGAAGCAGATATTTAAGCAGTTGTTGCAACCAACATGGATGTGTCTGTAGCTGATTAGTGCATTTGCCTCTGAAAGCCACTGTATTCCAAGCCTTTTATTAGCAAGGAATTGAGAACAGAAAGTGGGGTTCAGAGCAGGATTTTCCCTTTGGGAGGTTTCCTCTTTGAGGGAAACTGAGCTCAACGTTTTACTGAAAATACCAGTCAAACCTCGTATATTTTGTAATAGGGCTAAAAAGTTGATACTCGGAAAAGTGCATGGGCTTTGAATTTGTTGCTGATGTGGATGTGAAATCCTTTCTATCATTTATAAGCCACAAGATCTTGGGCAAGGTACTCAAATCTTGAGGCTGTTTTCTCATCTCAAATATGGTATCACTATACTTAATTCACAGATTTGAGGTAACAATTACATAAACCTTATTTCCCTACTGTGTCCACTACTCACGGCAACAGCCAGAAGAATCTTTTGCAAATATTTATCAGATAATATCAATGCCCTACTTTAAACCCTATTATAGTGTTATGTTCATTGTGCTGTGTGCCACTGAGTCAATTCTGACTCAGTGACGCTAAGGGTCAGAGTAGAACTGCCTCATAGGGTTTCCTAGGCTGTAATCTTTACAGGAGCAGATCTCCAGGTCTTTTCTTCCATGGAGCAGCAGGTGGGTTCCAACTGCCAACCTTTCAGCAAGCACCAGAATGCTTAACCATTGTAATTATAAAGGTAATTACAGAAAAATTGGATGAGTCTTGCAGTCCAGTACGGAGTCTGAATTGTCTCTTACTTGTTCCAATTCAGGAGCTCTGGTGGCATAGTGCCTAAGGCATTTGACTGCTAACCAGAAGGCTGGCAGTGCAAATCCACCAACCACTCCTCGGAAGGAAGGTTGGGCAATCTACTTCTGTAGTGATACTGCCTCAGACACCCAAGGATGTGTCGCTGTGAGTCGGATCTGACTCCAAGGCAGTGAGGTGTTTTTTTTTGGTGTGTGTGTTTTTTTTTTCCCCCAGTTCATATGTATCATTCCTATCTTAGGGCCCTATTCCATTTCTCCTAGTAGACAGCTTTTTCTATCCCTTAGGACTTCTTCCTTCCAAAGTCAGATAAGATCCTTCTGAACTATACCTAAAGTCACCTCCCCCACCACAATTGCTAACCCATGAAGTTTTTTGCATTTATTTTATAGCACTCACCAGTACCTGAAATTTTATATTTGTAATACATCATATCTAAGTTAGAATCAAATCTCCACTGGGGCAGGTACTATTCACATCTTGTTGTTGTTGTTTGTTATGTGCCATCAAGTCAGCCCCAGCTCATAGCGTCCCCTCTTTGGGTTTCTGAGGCAGTATCACTACGGAAGTAGGATTGCCCAACCTTCCTTCCAAGGAGTGGCTGGTGGATTTGAACCGCCAGCCTTCTGGTTAGCAGTCAAGTGCCTTAGGCACAATGCTACCAGAGTATGTAGTATCCAGAACAAACCCACTGCCACTGAGCCACTTCCAACTCATAGTGAGCTTATAGTGAGCCTTTGTTATCATGGAACTACCCCCACTGGTTTTCCAAGGCTGTCAGTCTTAACAGGAGCAGACTGCCTCATCTTTCTCCAGGAAAGTGACTGGTGGGTTCAAATTACTGACCTTTTGCTTACTAGCTCAATGCCTTGACCACTGTGCTACCAGAGCACCTAGTATGGAGTAGATATCTAAAATGAAGAATGAAAAATAAAGGGAAAAAGGGAGAAGGAAGTAAGAATATATAAAACAGGAGTAAAGTAGAATTGCAATTCTCCCAATTCTTCCCTCATTATGGAAATCCTAGAGATGTTTTAGGAGCTCTGATGGTGTAGTGTGTAGAGCACTTGACTGCTAGCCAGAAGGCTTGCAGTTCAATCTCACCAGCCACTCCTCAGAAGGAAAGATGGGCAATCTACTTCTGTAGCGATACTGCCTCGGAAATCCAAGGAGGGGTCACTATGAGTAGGATCTGACTCAACGGCAACGAGTAGAGATGTTTTAGGAAAAATAGTTTAATGTACTCTGATCTCATTATGAGTAATATATATTGGTGAGTTAGGATATCTGATCTCTAGCCTTTGATGTCAACCTGCCTGTTAAATAGCTGTGTTGCATTGGTTGGCCCTAGGGGCTTCCTTTTCCTCATATAAAACTAAAGTGCTTTACCAAATTCTAAAAGTCACTGCTAGTTTAACTTTAAAACAAATGTGCTGGGCTCTTCATACAGAGCTTCAGTTTTAACTCCACATTCACCTTGAAATATGACTAAAATTTTTTTAGATATCAGAAGTATATTCAATTTTACACTGTGTTAACAAAAAGTAGTTATAATACTGAATATTTCTTAGGGAGAAAGAGCACATAGCAATCCCTCCAAAAACAAAACAAAACAAAAAAGTCTTCCTTTGAGTTTTCTGTTCCACTTCCCTTACCTCAGTTGCAGATTCACCATCTCCCTTCCTTGGTCCGTGTCTCAGGCAATCTATCCACAGAGCTCAACACTATTTACTCCACAGCTCATCCTTGCCTGCAACTATCTAGCTCAGTAAACAAAGTAGCCTCAAAGATTGCTCCCCTTTCAAAATCTGCAGGGAATTTTAAATTACAAGTAGAATTTTAACTTTCATTTTTTTTTTTTACTGTTGCATATCAGTCTCAGAAAAGTTCAAGAGAAATAAATAACAGCTTTAAAGTTTAACTTCTTTGTTGTTTTTTTTCTCAGTGAAGTCCCTTCTAGAGAAAGGCATTGAAATATGAAATAACTATTGTAAACCACTAACTGGTTGCCATCCATCTGATTTCAACACATGGTGACTCCATGTGTGTCAGTAGAACTGTGCTCTCCAATGTTTTCAGTGGCTGGCTTTTTGGAAGCAGATCACCAGGAATGTTTGCACCACCCAGGGACTCTCTTAACTTCTGATGAAATCATCATTTTTGTTACCATTTTGACCAGACCCTAAGCTTTCAATCTCTCTTCCCTTTCCTTTCTTTGCATGCTTTTGCTTAACTTGGAGACCAATACTATGATGTTATCTTCCTTTTTGATACCCTTCATGGTTCCTCATATTAGAAAGCTATGTTTCAGACAAGTCCAAAATATTGTTTCTCTTTTGGAGCTGAAGCTCATACCAGAAATGGAGTGTCTTATCTTCTGAGGAAGGAGGGAAATCTGTCTACAAACTGAGTGCAGAGGTTACAGATCCCAAATTATACTCAATCCCAGTCTTTAAGGAATTCTCAGCACATTCCAAATAGGAGCAGGCTAACCAGAGTCAAGGCAATCAGTTTCACTGAGAAGATGCCGTGAGCATACCTCATCTCAGATGAGTCAAAACACTGATTCTGTCAGAGAGACAGAAGCTAGTTGCCATGTCTCCAAAAGTGCTCCTGGAGCAGTTATGCTTATTTATTTACAGCTTGCTAAAAGTTTTACAAGGAAATTGACATGGCTTGAGGCACTGCCTAACTAAGCCATTGCCCAACACTACCACTCCATGGAGAATAATCACATTTTAGTTATGATGTCAATAAGCAATTCCTGGGAGACTTTGCCTTTTTGTAATTCATTTGAAGTGCCACTTAAAAATATATACCACATGCTTTTCAAAAGGGTATGCTGAGGAGGCCCATACTTTTTTTTTTTCTTCTAAATATAGCAAAGGATTTGAGATTTGCACATGAGAATAATATTGCTAAGATAAAGTCCTAAGCTATATGATGTGTTTTTACATCCTTGTTCAGTTTTATAAGCAACTTTGTTTGAATTTCTCATCTTTTCTCTTCTTTCTTGTCTTTGTCTACAGAGGGGTTTGCACAGAACTTAGCTGAAGCCTACTCAAGATACCGAAGAATTCCTATCTTAACTGAACTTAGTAAGTTGTGTTTTAAGGGAAAAAAGCAAGGAAGAAATATTTGTGGTACATAATTGATGTCACAAGGTCCTCTTTAGAGTCCACAGTCAAAAGATTGAGGAACCAACATGGGGCTTAGAGAGCATAAGTGCTTGTCTGGATGTGGCACTGACCTTTAACCTGGTTGATACCATCATCTCAGAATCTCAGCGTCAGGTATAAGAATGACTTCTACCTTCTGCACTCATCCAGTTACTACGAGACAGAAATCAGTAATGGGGTCAGTCTTATTTAGAAGGTGTCTCCCATGGAGGAGGCATGGATTTGCAAACTGCTAGGAAATATCTATCTATAACAACTTATCTACCCCATGGTAGGTCTTTAGGTCAGGCACTCACTTTTCCCATAATGACACTGGAGCTAGGATTAAGTCAAGGCAAATGAGGAACCTAGAGTGCAAATTTTAAGGAAGTAGGCACTTTCAGGATCCTAATATTTCTGTGTGCCAGGTATCTTTCTTGCCTTATCCTACTCTGAGGGATAATTTTCTAAAATGCAAATACTACTTGGATAAATAGTTCAATAAACAGTTACTTCTCATCAACACATAGAAAATAAAGTTTCATGAAGCTTTTCTAGATATAAAGAGCTCTAGAAGAATAAAGCAGGGTAAAGAAGGGTTGAAAAAGTTGTCCATATGCACTTTAAAGGAGTATTGTAGGGTACTAGGTGACACACTGGGATTAGATACTGATAGTTGTTGTTGTTGTTATGTGCCATCAAGTCAGATCCAACTCATAGCTATCCCTCCTTGGGTTTCTGAGGCAGTATCACTATGGAAGTAGATTGCTCAACCCTCCTTCTGAGGAGTGGCTTGTGGGTTTGAATCACCAGCCTTCCAGTAAGCAGTCAAGTGCCTTAGGCACTGCACTACAAGAGCTCCTAGATAGTAGTTGATGAGAAGGGGGAAAAGACCAAAGAAAAGGGAGATGTGTCTCTAACACATCAAAGCTTATCTCTAAAGCTGGTCTTGGATGTGTAGTTTGACTTGTCTCGTTGTTGTTGTATTTGACTTGTCTCCATAGTATAGTAAAATGCATAGTGGACATTTTATGATTTACAGTAGTTCCTGGGTTGTGGAAACAGTTAAAAACTCAACTATTAGGTGAAAAGTTGGCTGTTTGAATCCACCCAGAGGACTCTTGGAAGAAAAGCCTGGTCATCTACTTTTGAAAGCCTTGGGAATTCTATGGAGAAGTTTTGCTGTGTACACATGGAGTCACCATGAGTTGGAATTGACTAGATGGCAACTAACAACAACAAAGCCAAGTAGGATTTATACTAAGTAAGATAAATAGATCAGCCATAGGGATCCAGGTGAGGAGAGGGAACTCAGGCACACCCAAAACAAACAGCAGGGTGGGAAAGCGGGAGAGAGGGGATTAAAAGCCAGGAACCTGGACAGAGGAACAGTCAGCCGCAGGGATCCAGGTGAGGAGAGGGAACCCACGCACACCCAAAGCAGCAGGGTGGGAGAGAGGGAGAAAGTGGAGTAAAAGCCAGGAACCTGGACCTGGACAGAGGAGCAGTCAGCTGCAGGAATCCAGGTGAGGAGAGGGTACTCAGGAACACCCAAAACAGCAGGGCAGGAGAGCAGGAAAAAGGGGATTAAAACACCCAGGAATTTGGACAGAGGAGGAGTCAGCCACAGGGACCCAGGTGGGGGGTATGAGAGGTTTCCAACAGGGAGAAAAACTTGTCTGTTGGTTTGTCCTCTCATGGTGATGTGTTGATGTAAGTTTTGAGGCTGAGCCATTGGTGTTTCAAACCCAGTGGAATGCACATGGTGCACAGGTATCAGCCCACCTTACAGACTGACACAGACTAGGAAGAAGAAAGTGTCTGTCTACTTTTCAAAAAATTGGCTAGGAAAAACTTTATGAATAGCAAAGAAACATTGTTTGATACATTACCTCGCAACTTTATGAATAGTCCGGTTAGGTTAGAAGTCTCTCAAAACAGGACCGGGAAATAGCTACATCATCTGAATAAACCCAAACTTAGTCCTATGGATAAGATAAAGCTTTCAAGACCTCCATTTGCTGATGTGGCACCACTCAAAATGAAGAGAAACAGCTACAGACATTTATTAATCATCGAAATATAAAATATATGAAGTTATTAATCTAGGAAAATTGGAAGTTGTCAAAAATGAAATAGAACACATAGAAACAGATACCCTTGGCATTAGTGAGCTGAAATGGACTGGTTTTGGCCATTTTGAATCAGACAATCATATGATCTACTATAATGGGAATGACAGTTTGAAGAGGAATGCTGAGGCATTCATCATCACAAAGGATATTTCGAGATCTATCCTGAAGTGCAATGCTGTCAGTGATAGGATAATATCCATATGCCTACAAGGAAGACCCGTTAATACGACTATTATTCAAATTTATGCACCAACCACCAAAGCCAAAGATGAGGAAATTGAAGATTTTTATCAATATCTGCAGTCTGAAATTGGCCAAACATGCAATCAGGTTGTGTTAATTATCATTGGTGACTGGAATGCAAAAGTTGGAAACAAAGAAAAATCACCAGTAGTTGGAAAATTTGGACTCCGTGACAGAAATAATGCTGGGACTCGCATGGTAGAATTTTGCAAGACCAATGACTTGTTCATTGCAAACACCTTTTTTCAACAACACAAATGGTGGCTCTACACATGGACTTCACCAGATGGAACACACAGGAATCAGATTGACTACATCTTTGGAAAGAGGCGGTAGAAAAGCACAATATCTTCAGCCAAAACCAGGCTAGGAGCTGATTGTGGAACAGACCATCAATTGCTCATATGCAAGTTCAACTTGAAATTAAAGACAATTAAAACAAGTCCAAGAGAGCGAAAATATGATCTTGAATATATCCCTCCTGAATTTAGAGATCATCTAAAGAGTAGATTTGATGCATTGAACAACAACGACCGAAAACCAGATGAATTGTGAGAGGATATCAAGAACATTATCCATGAAGAAAGCAAGAGATCACTAAAAAGACAAGAAAAGAAGAGAAGAACAAAATGGATGACAGAAAAGACTCTGAAACTTGCCTTTGAGCGGAGCACAGCTAAAGCAAATGGAAGAAATGACAAGATAAAAGAGCTGAACAGAAGATTTCAAAGAGCAGCTCGAGCAAACAAAACCAATTACTATAATGACATGTGCAAAGACCTGGAGTTTGAAAACCAAAAGGGAAGAACACGCTCAGCATTTCTCAAGCTGAAAGAATTGAAGAAAAAATTTAAGCCTCGAGTTGCAATATGGAGAGATTCTCTGGGCAAAATATTGAATGATGCAGGAAACATCAAAAGAAGATGTCAGGAATACACAGAATCACTGTACCAAAAAGAACTGGTTGATCTTCATCCATTTCAGGAAGTGGCATATGATCTAGAACTAATGGTACTGAAGGAGGAAGTCAAAGCTGCAGTGAAAGAATTGGTGAAGAACAAGGCTCCAGGAATTGATGGAATACACATTGAGATGTTTCAACAAATAGATGCCCCATTGGAGGCACTCACTTGGTTATGTCAAGAGATGTGGAAGACAGCTACCTGGCCAACTGACTGGAAGAGATCCATATTTGTATCCATTCCAAAGAAAGGTGATGCCACAGAATGTGGAAATTATAGAACAATATCATTAACATCACATGCAAGTAAGATCTCACTGAAGATAATTCAAAGATAGTTGCAGAGAACTTCCAGAAATGCAACCTGGATTCAGAAGAGGACATGGAACAAGGGATATCATAGCTGCTGTCAGATGGATCTTGGCTCAAGGCAAAGAATACCAGAAAGATGTCTACTTGTGGATTATTGACTATGCAAAAGCATTTGATTGTGTGGATCATGACAAATTATGGATAACATTGAGAAGAATGGGAATTCCCGAACACTTGATTCTTTTCATGAGGATCCTGTACCTTGACCAGGAGGCTGTCGTTCGAACAGAACAAGGGGACACTACACGGTTTAAAATCAAGAAGGGAGTGCATCAGGGTTGTACCTTTCCCCATACTTATTCAATCTATATACTGAGCAAATAATCTGAGAAGCTGGACTATATGAAGAAAAACGTGACATCAGGATTAGAGGAAGAATCATTAACAACCTAAGGTACGCAGATGATACAACTTTGCTTGCTGAAAGTGAGGATGACTTGAGGCACTTACTGATGAAGATTGAGGAACACAGTCTGCAGTATGGATTACATCTCAATATAAAGAAGACAAAAATATTCACAAGTGGACCAATGAGCAGCATCACAATAAATGGAGAGAAGATTGGGGTTGTCAAAGAATTCACATTGCTTGGTTCTACAATCAACACCAATGGAAGCAGCAGTCAGGACATTAGATGACATGTAGCACTGGGAAGGTCATCCACGAAGGACTCTTTCAAGTGCTGAGGAGCAAGGATGTCTCCTTGAGGACTAAGGTGTGCCTGACACAAGCCATGAGATTTTCAATTGCCTCAAGTGCATGTGAGAGCTGGACAATGAATAAGGAAGACCAAAGAAGAGTTGATGTTTTTGAGCTGTGGTGCTGGCCAAGAATGCTGAAAGTACCATGGACCGCTGAAAGAACTAATAGATCTGTCCTGGGGGAAGTGCAACCAAAATGCTCCTTGAAAGCAAGAATGGCCAGACTTTGTCCCACCTACTTTGGTCATGTTGTCAGAAAGGATCATTCCCTGGGGAAGGATGTCATGCTTGGTAAGGTGGAGGGTCGACGAAAGAGGGGGAGGCCTTCAGCAAGATGGATTGACATGGTGGCTGTGACGATGGGCTCAAGTATAGCAAGGATCATGGAGCTGGTATGGGATCAGGCGGTGTTTTGTTTTGCTGTGCATGGGGTCGCTATGAGTCGGAAATGACTCAACGGCACCTAATAACAACAATAACATAGCTCGTTGTTAGGTACTGTCAAGTCAATTTTGACTAATGATGACCCTATCTGATAGGGTACAACTGCCCCCATGGGGTTTTCTAGGCTGTAATCCTTATGGAAGAAGATCTCCAAGTTTTTCCCTCCTAACACTACTGGGTGGGTTCAAATTTCAGCTTGTAGCATTACTATAAAAAAAAGAGAGATTATAGTTGGGGTGACCATATATTCATACTTATGTCTGTTGTAACACTGCAATTATTGACACTGCTTCCTTTTACTACCAAATCTATATCCTGGTTTGGCAGATAAAAAACATTATATATAATATTTGTATGTAATAATTATTTCTAATAATTTATACATTTATGGATACTTCCCTGGAGAAACATTCTGAGGTGTAAGGATGTCCCTTTGATGATGAAGGGAAGCCAAGAGGGACACATATCTTTTGTGAAGGAAGATATTTGGAAAGGAAAAATAAATGTGCTGATGTAGGGACCGATCCCACAAGAGTCCCCACAAGTCGGCATCAAATCCTCTCATCAAGTAGTTACTCTTAGTCTATCTTGTATAGCACTTCTTAAGTTAATCTGCCTGCCTTTTCTTTTTGCCTTGCAGAAAATCCTTCCAATGTTCACTTAATTGAACGGCTTGGTGGAATGAAAGGAAGCCTTCCAGGAACAAATCTTCATCTCAGTACTTCTTTTTCCACAGGCGCTGTCTTTTCAGGCAGCTTCTTGGATTCCCTCCTGGCCACAGTAAGTACAGCTGAGCCCAGAAGCCCGAAAAAACAAGACCCTCAAAGAAGGGAGAGTGGGTTGGTTAGGGCTGGAGAAGTGGAGAAAGCATCTCACAAATCCACGTTCTCTGTTTTGTTGTTGTTTCAAAGAAGCTCGTTCAAATACAGTATCTTATTTCATCTTTTTTAACTACTTGGTGAGGGAAGCAAAATGTTCACCTATTCAAGATTGTTGTTGTTAAGTGCTGTGGAGTCAGACCTGACTCATAGCGACCCCTCCTTGGGTTTCCGAGGCAGTATCACTACGGAAGTCGATTGCCCCATCTTCCTTCCGAGGAGTGGCTGGTGGGTTTGAACTGCCAGCCTTCTGGTTAGCAGCCAAGTGCCTTAGGCACTATGCTACCAGAGCTCTATTCAAGATTAAAACCCTAAAATGCTGGGAGCTGAAATAGCTCATTCTAGGAGGAATGTGTGAGTAAGTGGCAGTGCACCTGCCTTACACTTCAAGCTCATCTTGGCACACTCAACCATCTTGCTGTCAGAGCTTGGAGGATACTCCTCTGTCTTCATTATAAAATCTTCCCACCCACTCAGTCAGAAATCAGTCCCAATCAGTCCCACATGGATTTCAAGGGAAAAGCTTTTTGGCCTTTGGTGGTTTAGTTTTGTTCATAGCTTAGTCAAACCTCCCTTGCACATTCCCTTTCTCTTTTGACTACATGGTTGATTGTTAGTTTCAACACCTCTTCACTGTTAAGCAGATCACTTACAGAAATTATAGGATTCCCATAAACAGAATTGATTCATTAGGCACATACTTATCTGAACCTACTTTGTGTCTGGCACTGTTCTAGATGCTGGGGAAACAGCACAATGAAGCAGAGCTCATTCCAGTGGAGGAGACTGACAATAAATATGATCAATAAGTAACATGAAAAGATATTTATAAGGCTTAAGGAGATGAGGAGATAGAAGGCTTGGAGAGAGGTTGAGGGAAAAAGTTCTATCCCAGGGAAGGCAGCACTGAGAAGGTAATATCTGAGTAAAGTTGTCCAGGACAATACACATTTAGCTTATTGAGGAGAAACACTCCAGGCACAAGGAAGAAGGGCAAAGACCTTGAGGTGGGAACACACCTGGTATGTTTAAGAAATTTGAATGTGATTTACTATCTCAGAAAATCTGTGCATTTGTGGACGGCAAAAATACTTCCAAAGGAAATCCATGTAATTCACTACCTTACAGATTCCTAATATCCACATTTTCTAAAGAAAAGTTTGCAAAATGGTGAAGTATCAATGAATAGATGCTTAAGTACAGAAAGCTCAGAGCAGAGTTTGATAAACTTGTTGCTTCTGGAACTATATACAGAGAAGGCAGTACTCTTGAGTTGTATGAATGCCTCAGATGCCCAGTTTGCACTTTTGGGGATGTGTGGCTGGGGTACAAGTATCCCATTCATTTGGTACTAAGAAGATTATGTTGCCCTGGACCCTGGCTCCCTAAGCCATGGATGGGTTCTTGTAAACTTTTGAGTTCTCAGAGAGCTCACATGACATCAACAAGAATTTAACAGTAATCAGGTTAAGTAAAGTATAAATTCCATAAGGGGTTAATGGCATTCAACCTTGACTGTATCAGCAGAGACACACTAGAAGGAGTCAAGTCAGGTTACTTTTCTGGGAAGTATCCATCAGGGGAAGTGTTATATTACCTTCTGTCCTTGATATATCAATTAACTTGCCTGTAATTAAGGAGTGCAGTGTCAGGCATAAGGTAGCTGTTGATGAAACTGACCTGTTTGTAGGATACATTTCAGACTGGATGTAAGGTTCCAGTTCTCAGAGATTCTTACAATGGAAGGAAGCTTTGAGCTTTAAATTAAACTGGAGCTTTAAATTTAACTCCATTAGCCCACTCAGGGTAGGCCGGGAGTGAGCAGAGTGGTTTGAAACAACTAAGGGAGACAAAATTTTCTGTCATTTTGTCATACTGTGGGGGCTTGCATGAGGCTGGAGGCTATGCCACCAGTGTTTCAAATGCCAGCAGGGTTAACCATGGACAGGTTTCAGCAGAGCTTCTAGACTAAGACAGACTCAGAAGAGGGAAGAGCCCATCCACTTCTCAAAGAATTGGCCAAGGAAAGCCTATGACTAGCAGTGAAATACTGTCTGATATATTACTAGAAAACATTACGAATAGCCCTGAAACACTGTCCAATACAGGGCCCAAAAATGAGCCCCTTAGGTCAGAAGCCACTCAAAATATGACTGGGGAAGAGCTGCCTCTTCAGAATACAGCTGATATGGCTAGAGTAAAGCTTTTGGGACCTCTATTTGCTTATGTAGCAAGTCTCAAGATGAGAAAAAATAGCCGCAAATGTCCATTAATAATTGGAACATAGAATGTACAAGGTATGAATCTAGGAAAATTGGAAGCTGTCAAAAATGAAATGGAACACATAAATATTGATATCCTAGCCATTAGTGAGTAGAAATGGACTGGTTTTGGCCATTTTGAATCAGACAATCATATGATCTACTATGGCAGGAATGACAAATGAAAGAGAAGTGGCATGACATTCATCACCCCAAATAATGTTTCAAGATCTATTCTGAAGTACAGTGCTGTCAGACAGGATAATATCCAATACACTACAAGGAAAACCAATTAATACTACCATTATTCAAATTTATGCACCAAACACTAAAGCCAAAGATGAGAAAATTAAATTTTTTTACCAACTTCTGTAGTCTGAAACTGACCAAACATGAAATGAAGATGTGTTAATTATCACTGGTGATTGGAATGCAAAATTTGGGAACAAAGAAGAACCATTGATAGTTGAAAGATATGGCCTTGGTGATAAAAATAACACTGGAGATCATATGATAGATTTTTGCAAGACCAATTACTTATTCATTGCAAATATCTTTTTTCAACAACAAAAATGGCAACTGTACATGTGGACTTCATCAGATGGCATACACAGGAATCAGATTGGCAACATCTGTGGCAAGAGGTGATGGAGAAGCTCAATATCTTCAGTGAAAACAAGGCCAGGAGCTGATTGTAGAACAGACCATCAATTGATCATATACAACTTGAAGTTGAAGACAGTTAAAACAAGTCCATGAAGCCAAAATATGACCTTGATTATATCCCTCCTGAATTTAGAGATCATCTAAAGAATAAATTTGATGCATCAAACACCAATGACCGAAAACCAGAGGAATTGTGAGACGTCAAGAACATCATCCATGAAGAAAGCAAAAGGTCATTAAAAAGACAAGAAAGGAAGAAAAGACAAAAATGGATGTCAAAAGAGACTCTGAAACTTGCCCTTCAATGGAGAGTAGCTAAAGCAAATGACAAAATAAAAGAGCTAAATAGAAGATTTCAAAGAGCAGCTCACAAAGACAAAGTCAATTATTATAATGAAATGTGCAAAGACCTGGAGTTAGAAAACCAAAAGGGAAGAACAGCTCAGCATTTCTCAAGGTGAAAGAACAGGAAAAAAACTTAAAACTTGAGTTGCAATATTGAAAGAGTCTATGGGCAATATACTGAATGATCCAGGAAACATCAAAAGATGATGAAAAGAATACACAGAGTCGCTGTACCAAAGAAAATTGGTTGATGTTCATCCATTCTGAGCCCCTTAGGTCAGAAGCCACTCAAAATATGACTGGGGAAGAGCTGCCTCTTCAGAATACAGCTGATATGGCTAGAGTAAAGGAGGTGGCATTTGAGCAAGAACCACTGGTATTCAAGGAAGAAGTCAAAGCTGCACTGAAGGAACTGGCAGAAAACAAGTCTCCAGGAATTGATGGAATACCCATTAAGATGTTTCAGTAGACAGATGCTGCACTGGAGGCATTCACTTGGCTATGCCAAGAGATTTGGAAGGCAGCTATATGGCCAACTGACTGGAAGAGATTCATATTTGTACCCATTCCAAAGAAAGGTCATCCCGCGGATTGTGGAAATTATCAAACAATATCATCAATATCACAAGCAAGTTAAATCTTACTGAAGAAAATTCAAAAACAGTTGCAGCAGCATATTGACAGAGAACTTCTGGAAATGCAAGCTGGATTCAGAAGAGGACGTGGAATGAGGGATATCATAGCTGATGTCAGATGGATATTGGCTGAGAGCAAAGAATAACAGAAAGATATTTACTTGTGTTTAATTGACTATGCAAATATTCAACTCTATGTAGCATAACAATATAACATTGAGAAGAATGGGAATTCCAGAACACTTAATTGTACTCATGAGGAACCTGTACATAGACCAGGAGGCTTGCATTCAAACAGAACAAAGGGATACTGAATGATTTAAAATCAGGAAGGGAGTGTGTCAGGGTTGTATCCTTTCAACATACTTATTCAATCTACATGCTGAGAAAATAATCCAAGAAGCTGGACTATATGAAGGAGAATGTGGCATCAGGATTGGAGGAAGGTGCATTAACAACCTGTGATAGGCAGAAGAAACAACTTTAGTTGCTAAAAGTTAGGATGATTTGAAGCACTTCCTGATGAAGATTAAAGACTACAGTCTGCAGTATGTATTTCACCTCAATATGAAGAAAACAAAAATTCTCACAACTAGACCTATAAGCAGCATCACGATAAATGGAGAAAAGATTGAAGTTGTCAAAGATTTCATATTACTTGGTTCTATATTCAACATCAATGAAAGCAGCCATCAAGACATCAGAAGACATATAGCATTGGACAAATCTGCTGCAAAAGATCTCCTTGAAGTGCTGAAGAGCAAAGATGTCTCCTTGAAGTCTACAATGCATCTAACCCAAGCTGTAGTATTTTCAATCACCTCATAGAGCTGGACAATGAATAAGGAAGACCAAAGAAGAGTTAATACTTTTGAGTGGTGATATTGGTGAAGAATACTGAAAGTACCATGGACTGCTAGAAGAACTAACAAATCTGTCCTGGAAGAAATGCAGCTGGAATGTTCCTTGGAAGCAAGAATGGCCAGACTTTGTCT